TGTCATAATTAAAGTAGTCACAATGTCCTAATAGTGTACTTATCTGACAACAATTTACCAAAGTGAGCACATTACACTAATTGGAGATTTCAATTTCATTTCAATAATTACAAACCAATTGGAAATTTACATCTTATAACATTTACAAAAAAAAAAAGCCCCATTTTTTCAATTTTTTTCTTTTATATAAATGCAAAACACGTGTAAACAAATTGAACAATCAAAATAAAACAATAACAGATATGTATATCAAGCAGGTTTTAATGCATCATGCATATACTCACGACTTTTTGCAACTTCTTAATATGTGTCTATTTAAATGCGATGTGCTCGAACTAGGCTTCCAACTGAGTTCTTTACCGCAATAATTGCAACATGCTTTCCAAATATCGACTCCATTTTGAACCCCAACTTTTTTTCGAGTCATATGTTGCNCTGAAATTGAATATTGCGTAAAGAAATTTGAGATAGGTTGATATGGATTTGTAAATTTTTTTTCGTATTTATAGACAAAAAAATATATCTATTTTAACTATATTTAATATAAAAATTCAAATTTTAACAAGACAATTGCATGAAAAAATTTGAAAAATCTATTTTTGTGGTTGCATGCACGCCAGCTGCGTGCAAGCAGCTAAAATAGTTGCCTGCATGCAGCTAAATTGTAGCTGTCTGCTCATGCAGCTTTTTGTTTTTTTAATTCAAAAATTTTAATTCTTTTTTGTTTTAATAATAGGCTTAATTGTTGGACACGGGCTGGCCTGAGCCTTGGCTCGTTGCAACCGAACTTTTTTGCCACCGCTATTTGGATACGACCTCTTTTCATTTGCAGCCAAAAATCCTTTCTTCTTCAATGAACGGTCATTGCAAAAAGTGTAACATTCTTTTCTTGCTCAACTGTCAAGTTTTTTTTAGTATTTTTCATTTTGAACATGGATTGCTTGGTCCAGCTGTGTTACTGTTCAGCGAGTTTGTATTAGCAGGCAACAGTTGTAGTGAGTTAAAATCGGACTATAAGTTGATAGTAAACGAGGTCACCTAATTATCGTCAGCTCTGTCCTCCTCATCTGAGTTTGACTCTTTGTTTTTATCTCCACTCCATGTAATATTCATTGCTTTCTTAGATTGAGACTTCTTCAGTTTGTTATCACATTCAATAGCTATGTGTCCTAGTCCTTCATGTTCATGGCGTTGAATACAATTTTTAGTTCTCTCCATACATGAAGTTAGATTTTGCCTTAAGTTGTTAAATAACTTATTCTTTTGTTGAGGTTGAGGTTTTGAGCTCCTTCCTTTTTTATTTCTCTTTAGGAATTTTTTAAACTGTTTGGTGAGCATGGCTGTATGTTCATCACTCTCACATTCTTCATCCTTTTTATCATTCTCATCATCTTTGGCTTTAAAGGTAACTTCGAACCCTTTTTCCTTCTTTCTCCTATAGAGA